TCATGTCATTTTTAAATCCAAACTTTCCATTTTGATAAAAAATAAGTTTTTCCAATAGCAATCTCTGAAGTCTCTAGAAGGAAGATGGGGCCCCAACAACAACTCTACCCAATCCAGAATGATGCCATGGTAATCATCATCATACTACACTTCTTGCCAGAATTTCAAACAATCTTACCCATTACTCTGAGACTTGCTGTGGAATCTACAGTTAGTCTAACTGAGATTTAACTATCTGAACTTTCTCACAGTACCAAACAAAGATTCCATCACACCCTAAACTGCAGGAAGCAATTCTAATAAAATGACCCCACTTCTCCCTAAGGGTTCATATTTCTCAGAGTTATGGATGATGGTTATAGGGTTAGGGTGGAAAAAATATTAAACTCAGTAGTCTCCTTAAGAGAAGAAAAATTATCTCAAAAAAAGGGAAAAGAAGAAATGGAATGGATAGGTATAAGATATTATGGTAGATTATTGTATATACTAGTAAACAAATTTAGTCAAGTAGCAGCCTTAGATAATTTGCACTGTAATATGCACTGTTATGGATTCCTATATGTTGATACAAATGTAAACTGTTTTTATATCCTGTTTAAGGTAATTTGTATATTGATACAGAACAATATTTGTTATAATGTACATATATTTCTACTCTTATTTGAAATATTTGTATATTGATACAAATGTAAATTTATATCTGTCATACTGTATGTATGTTCTACTTCTGTTTATGACATTCTATATATTGATATACATTTAAGATTACTGTCATATTGCATATTGCAATATACATTCTTACCTCTGTTATAAATATCTTGTGTATTGTCACAACTTTGAAGTCATCGTCCTTTACTGTACATTGGCTTATAGACTGTTTACCTTGTTTACATGAAGCCTTAGTCTTTATGTTATTTCAGTAGATAAGACTTATAGATTTATAGTCACCTATGCTTGTCATCCCTATAGTTACGTTAGTTAGGTTATCCAGATTTACAGATACATAGGTCAGATGGACAGGTAATCTTCAAACACTTCATAGACTTAGAGAATATGGCATTTAATTAGCTTAGAATTCTGTTGACGTGAGACACAATTGCTCCTGGCACCACCAATTTGATCCCAAGAGAACGTTGGGCTTCTAAGATATTTCCATTTGGAAGTTTGTCTTCTTGGCACAAAATGGCCTATTGGGCAAAGAACTGCCCTTGCCTCAACTGCTGATAATATGAGTGCTGTCCTTCTGGACAAGTGGGATACAAGGAAAAGTTACTTCTGAACTCTGCCAAGACAGGGTAAGATGGTCTTTCAGAATTCCTGCTTCTGAAAATGGTCTGTCATATACTCTAGGCCTGTAGCCAATTTGAATGCACCAACAATGCTGAGAAACATTAGGTGACTGTGCAGGTTTCCAGCTGTCTTGGTCTACTCTTGCAAGATTCCCGAAAGTTACTTGCATCCATTTCCCATTTTTCAGGTACCATTATATTCCTTCTCAGGTCTTTGATGAGATTGAAGACTAGCAGTTATAGTTACAACTTAGTATATATATATACATATATACATATATAGTATCTTAGATAGAACATATTAAGTATTAGATTCAGGTTCTTTAGGATAGGACACCTTTTGGAATGATCTTCATAGCATGCCATTTGCCTATGCTCTAGATTTCTCTGGATTTTAGTATGTGTTTCTTGTTTGATATTTTTTACATTGGTTGTAGTTCCATCTTATCTAGGTCATCATCCCTCATTATTCCTGGACAATATTTGATAACCATTCCTTTGTATGTAATCTTGTATTAGGTTAGAACCTTCTTATTTAGACAAAAGGGGGAGATGTAGTGGGTAGCCATTCCAGCTTTGGTCTGGAAACTCCAAACCCCATTGAGGCTTCGGTAACTGTCACACCTACAAGGCGGAGTAGAGAGGACCCTGAAAACCTGAGATCCAGATGCGCCAGCTCTCTTGGTTCCTGGACCCTAGATGCTGGAGGTAGACCAAGCAGAGTTCTCCAGAGAACGCCGCTAGTTTGCACTATACCTTTCCCAGACCCTGTTACCTATCCATTCACTTGTAAGTTACCCCACAAAATAAACCTCCCTTTTATCTACGTGGAGTGGCCTTAATAATTTCACCAATAACAAACACTTAATTTCAGTTTATAAGACATATTATTTTTGCTGCATGTCAGAAAATAGCTATAGAACCCAACCTGGTAAAAGGATATTCCTAGTGCTCTCCTCAGGGTATCCTGAATCTGGATATGGCCTTCTGGTGTACTTTTGTGCTTTCCCAGATAAAATCTATAGTACTTGTTAAAACTGACCTGTCCTGAAAAAGTTCTGTGAAATGGTTGCTCTGTTAATATTTAATATGTGATTACTGGTGTTTATTTCCTTGTGTTTCCTGATCATGTATTTCTGAATTCAAACAACCTTCTTGGATCATTGTATTGATTGTTACAGTTGTGTATAAAGTACATTGAAACTGAAATAATATTTTCTGTAACATTATAGACTGTAGTCTAACTAATTCCTTAAGTTCTTCAAATCAAGGTCTTGAGGACAGATCTACATAGGTCAATGAAGGTTGACAGTAAGTGTAAGGAAGCTTGTTATAGAAAGGAAAGAACTACAAGGTCAAACCATTCATTCACCCTTCCATCCTGGCACTATCAAATACTTGCAAATCATGTGAACCCTAGATACTTTATTTCTTCAAGTTGCCTGTCATACAGTTTTTCAGGTTGATTACCACAGAGTAAAGTGATCCAGACAAATTATTAATGTTCACATGTTTCAATACAGAGTTTCAGTTGAAGGTTAGATAAACATGCTCTAGTAATGCTGTTTCTATATTCATAAATCCATCTAAACTCTACTGTGAAATACAAAGAAAGTCTAACCCATTATCACATTTTAAATGTCCAGTGTTATTATTATTATTTATTTTTGGCTTTTTTTTCCGGAGCTGAGGACCAAACCCAGGGCCTTGTGCTTGCTAGGCAAGTGTTCTACCACTCAGCTAAATCCCCAATCCACCAATCCCATGTCCAATGTTTATGGAAGTAGAATTGACCTCTGAGTTGGGAGTGGTGACTCATGCCTATAAACCCAGAACTTGAGAATCTAGGCTAAAAGAATTCCCCTGAGTTTGAGAAAAACCACCACTACATACTCATGAAAGCCTGGGCCTGTGTCAGAAAAACTAAGAAAAAGAAAAGGAAAGAAGAAAACACAGAAGGGGAGAAAATAGGAGGGCATGGTGGCAGGGAGAGAAGAGAAAGACAATAAAAGATAAAGGAAAACTAGGTCAACAACACTTGCATCTAAGAAGTAAAGACAATAGGCCCACAGACTTGGAGGATTTCTTTGCAGACCTTTGGTGCATGTAGGTTGTTAAAAGATCAGAGAGTTTATAGCCTTGAGCAATGTGTCAAAGGTTATGAGACGAGATAAAACAGGATAAACATGAATTGCAGTTATGAAACCCGAATATTAAGGCAAATTAAATGTATAAAAATACATCCAATAGCTGGGCAGTGGTGGTGCATGCCTTTAATCCTAGCACTCAGGAGTCAAAACCAAGAGGATCTCTGTGAGTTCAAGGCCAGCCTGGTCTAGAGAGCAAGATCCAGGATAGGTACCAAAACTGCACAGAGAAACCATGTCTCGGGGAAAAAAAAAAAACATCCAATAAACAAAAAATTATAGATTTCTGGGCTTCTGTGTATCAGCAGAGACTGGTGGGTTTTGGTTTACTTATGAATCTCTGTACTCACTAAGCTAAATAAGAACTTCTGATATCATTCTGCAGAGTTTTGGGGAAGCCAGTTATTCTTCAAGAATCTGGAATATTTTCAATCACACATCCTAAACTTTGAGCATAAATAAAAAGATTACTAGAAAATATATCTTAAATTGTAGGTCTTTAAAAATAGAAAGTGATTTATGTGGCACTGAGTATAGCTCTTCTTAGATAATTAAAATCCTAAATATGGCAGAATATGTCTGTTCAACACTACTTTTAGACATACTTGACATCAAATTTCTCAAAATGATCAATAATGATGTGTAGTGTTGACTGTGAGTGGCATTCAAGTAATAGGATATCTAATCTGTTTTTAGTGCCATAACAAAATATCTGATGTTACTTAATTTATAGTGTTAATATTTTATTGAGATGACTCAGCAGTTTAAAGTGTATACTACTGTTGCAGAGGACCCATGTTCAGTTCCCAAAATCCACATCAGACAGCTCCCAACTGCCTGCTAACTCCAGGTCAAGGTGATTCAACCACGTGTGTTGGCCTTGTTGGGCACTTGTACTCATATGCAAAAATACACACTGTAACACATGGATATACACAGTGAAAATAAATATAAACCTAAAAAATTATTTATCTCATAGTTTTAGATATTGACAATCAAGGATTGTGTGGAGCTATTGTGTGGAGCCTTTGATGGATACCTTTTCACTGCATCATAACACAGAAGGTGATGTGTTTAATATATAGTGAGCACTTGAACCACATGAGAAAAGAGAAGAAAGAGGCCAGAGAAGGGAAGGTTCATTCTTTCATAAACACCTACCCCACTGAGTAAAAAAATCTATCCATGGATGGACAATGTTATTCCTTTCCAAGTGTATACCTTCATAAGCCAATCAGCTTTTACTAGGCCTAGTACTTAAGGATCAAATAATGTTCAATGCAATTGGTTCTGGTAATCACAATCTACCTACACCACAAAGTAAAATGCAGAAGTATGTCATATGAGGCCAAAACCACAAAGTCTAATGAGAGCTACAAAACTTATACACACATACTTACACACATTCACACACACACACACACACACACACACACACACATACACACACCATGATTTATTTCTAAATAAGATCAAATAGAGAACTTATATCAAGCAGTTCAATACACAAGCTATTATTTTTTTATTTAAAGTGACTTAAAGTAATAATTTATTTTAAAAGTACCTAGGATGATAAGCTTTTCATTAAGCAGATTGGTCACATTATGGCCATGGTCTTGAAGAATTTGTGACACACGGCTCATCACCATAAAGTGGCTCCCACCTAGAAATAAAACATAAGTTCATTTTTTGGAGAAGAATGAAAAGATTTCTGGTTACCATAAATAGCTGACATAAAGAAATCTAAAAGTAAATGTAAAGACATAGATAGCCTCATAATGCATAAGTAGAAACCAGCTCTTCCATGTCCTTAATTACATTTTAGGTAATATCCAGGACATGAACTCAGAGCTCTGACCAATAGCAATCCTCTACCAAAGATATGAAGGTCATGCCCAAAATGATGGCTCAGCAGTTAAAAGCACTTGCTGCTCTCATCAATCCCTAGCACTCACATGATACCTCACATCCACCTGAAACTCTAGTTCCAGAAGATCTGACACCCTCTTCTGGCCTCCATGGGCATTTCATGCACATGATACACTTACATAATATATTTGCAGGTAAAGCACTCATAAACACAAACATAAAAATATATGCTTTTTAAATATCTGAAGGATGATTAATGAGCTACTCTGCTTGGACATTAGACGCTCTTCATCCTGTGGTTCATGGATATTTCCCACTGGTCTTCCCATATCTACATTAATCATTCTGGCTCCTCTTTTGAAATGATCCCTAAGCCTCAGGTCCAGAAGTTGCTTCATCCAGTCATTTGGTTCAATAAATTACCAGAGATGGGAAAATACATCACAATAAGATGGCTGATTTTTTTTTTTTAGTGAAAGAAATTTCATGGGGACAGATGATTATTGAGCCCTTAAGAAATTTCTCTTCTTGGACCTGAGTTTCTACCATTTTGAATAAAGCCGTTAAGAATCATCATGAGGTCTCAACAACTCTGGGTACTCATCAAGAATGTCAGATACATGAAGAACTGGAGAAACAAAATTCTTCAACAATCCTGGACTCTTCAGGAAGGAGACAAGTATCTATAGAAGAATTTTTATTTGGGCTACCAGCTCACAAATAATGACCCAGAAACCTACTATTCATTATTAAAGCTAGTCCCTAGCTTAGGCTTGTCCCACTAGCTCTTATAAGTTAAATTAGACCATTTATATTAATCTACATTTTATCTTGTGGCTTTTTTAATCTTTCTTCCATTTTGTATGTCTGATTTCCCCCATCTCCTTGCCATCTCTTCTGTGCCTTGATTACATCCTCCACTCGTTCTGTGTCTGGAAGGCCTGTCTATACCTCCTGCCTAGCTACTGACCATTCAACTCTTTATTAATCCTATCACAGCAATATATCTTCACACAGTGTATAAATATCCAGCAAGTATCATCAAATAATAGATTCTCTATGGCTACAATTTCTTTAGAACATTAGTTTGAGTCCAGAGCTGAAGCAGAGAAAGATAAATTCAGAAAAGAAATGGAATTTATACAACAAAAGCTGGGAGGTCAAAGTGATTGGGAGATCTCAGAGCACCTTGATTGGGACAGAGCTGGAGAAGTCAGGGAAGTCGAATCTATATGTTGTGTGAACCACTCTTTTCATTCACATTTGTGTTGTCTGAAATAACATAACACAGATAAAAGCCCACCACCCCTCGAGTTTCCTGCCTCTGTTCTCATTAGACTGAGAAGGGGTGCCCAGGGAAACAGTCATTCTAATGAGTGCTCATGAAAAAGAGTTCATCCTACAGAAAAACTGAGAATTTCAAAATGCACAAACTGAGCCATTGAGCCCAGGAAAAAGTGAAGTTTCAAGAGTTGGGTCTTTTTGTTCATTACATTAAAAATTCCAGCACAAAAGCAGATAAATGAAACAACTTCTGCACCTGAGGCTCAGGGATCATTTCAGAAGAGGGGACAGAATGTTTTAAAGCCAGAGAAACATGGAGGTTGCTGTGAGATTGTGTCTCCTAAGAATATCAGAAAATAAGCTCATCAAGTCTTACCAGCAAGACATGATCCAAATAAGAACAACATAAAAATGTTAAAGTTGATGTAAGAAAGCACCTGAGCCTTCAACCCCTCACACACACACACTGTAAAAACAAACACAAATACAGAGTCAACTAAGAAATGGTGAAAAGAGGAGAACCAGTCTTAACTAGTGAAGACCACAATAATTGCTTATTCAAAGCAAAAAATGGTCATTGTGTTGATATATTTGGTCAAACTGTGACACTCCAAGAGTGTTAACAAATTTAACCTGAATCAGGGGGCAATGTCTATGACTATATGGAGAATTAGCTATGGAGAATTTTTAGAGCCCAGTATATGATAGAGAACATGGGAAGCAATAGAAAGGATTGAAAGATTTGCAGAGACTTTCAATTTGGGGAAACATGGACAGAGAGGGTCAGCTGGTCATTCCTTTGCTGCTTTCTCGATCTCTCTCTCTCTCTCTCTCTCCCCCCCCCTCTCTCTCTCAATCTGACTCCAGAGTTGTTATTGATAATAGAATAATTTGTTATTGATAAAAGGACAGTTTAGTTAAATGCTTCTTATCATCCCTAAAAACATGCATACAGGTAACACTATATAGACTGAGCATGTTATGCTTAGTAGTACACGTGTTTATACACAAGAATGTGTGCATGTGACAACAAATGATGAAGAATGAGGTCATGAATTTGAAAGAGAACATGGAGATATTTTCAGGGAGGGCTTGGAGGGAGGAAAGAGAAAGGGAAATGATATCATTATAATCTCAAAAAATAAAATATATAATTTTAAAAGCAGGTGGAAAAAGGAGTAAGGATTTTTTAGCAAGAGTGTACAAGTCCCCACTATAAAGATTCTCATTAGAACATGTATATGTATTCATTATAAAACACTATAAAAGTGAGTTGTAGTCCTGCAAGATGCTGCCAAATTCCTTCACCCTTCTCTTCCTCTAGGAAGAACAGAGCAGAAGGTTCAAGCCCATGTCTATAATCTGTGTTTCACTCCAGCAGTGAGGTACTCTGGCTTCATCTCAGAAAGTATTGTAAGGGAGACATGCCGCCCTTTGTAAAAGGTTGAATACAATAATCCCTTTTATACTGGCACACTTCCAAATGTATGCATTCTATTATCCTAGACAAACAAGAAGTAAATACCATTTGAGGCATAGAATACAGAATTATAAGACCCATCCATCTTCAAAAATGTTGAGAAGGTTGATGAAATACAGCAGCGCACAACAGAATCCTCCTCGGGATAACAAGTCATCTTTTCAGTTTTACCTTGGAAGGAAATATTCCTAATATTCACACCTTAAAAAAATCTAGGGAAAGTCTCTGAATGTTCTGCCCCTGGCACTGAATAGATTGTGGGATTATAAAGCTTAGGAGTACATCTAAATTTTTGTGCCCAGTTCTGTGCAATGATTGCTTCTACAACAGCTGAAAGAACACTTCTGCTTTATGTAATTATCATCTGTCATGCGGAGGTGGCTCACACCTTTAATCCCAGCACTCAGGAGGCAGAGGCAGGTGGATCTCTATGAGTTTCAGGCCAGCCTGGTCTACAGAGCGATTTACAGGAAAGGCAGGGCAACAGAGAAGCTCCTTCTCAAAAAAAAGAAAACAAAAGAAAGAAAGAAAAGAAAAAGAAAATGAAAATGAAAAAGACAAGAAAAGCACAAAACAAAAATATCACAAAGCAGGGAGGGAAGGAGAGATTGCTCTGTGTTTAAAGTACTGGATCTTCTTCCAGAGGACCCAGTTCAATTCCAGGCACCCTCATAGAGGGTCACAGCCACATGTAACTCCAGTTCCAGAAGATCTGATGCCTTCTCAGGACCCCCACAGTGCCTGGGCACAGAAGTAGAAAACAGACAGACATGCAGGTAAAATATTTCTACAATAAACACAAATAAGAATATATTTTTATCATCATCCTGCTGCGATAGTTAGGAGTAATGAAGAGGACCAGATACAGCTAACTTACTATTCATATATGTTAAATCCATAATGTCAGTAGCTTTGCTCTAAAGTAGCATTAGAAGCCAACGATGAAATGCTTATAGATTAGCATTCCCTTATGACTACCACAGCTAAAGGAGGTAGAGTTTGAGATAGATACACAAATTGTAGGCACAAAAGGGTTAGTGACAAGATATCTTAATTTGCAAAAGCTCCTTAGTAATGCTACAGAGTAAGCTCGCATATCAGAAGTCAGTAAGAGCAGAATCGTAGTCCCTTCAGAATGTTCATCCTTATAATAAACAACAACAACAAAATCTAACTAAGCCATCCAGCTTCATTTGCTTTTGGTTAACTTCTAAAAATCATTAATTTTAGAGGTCATGGAGCCTAACATGTGAGTTATTTGCTGACAACTTGGCTTTGGGTAATACCTGCTATGAGTGTATTGTGATCATATATTACAAATTAAGTTTCGAAGTTAGTTTTGCAGAAGCTGGAAGGTTACCTATGTTAAAATCTTGACTCTTTGCCAGAAACACTAGGTTTTAATCCAATTTAGGATTAAAATAAGATAATGCATTCATCAATTCTGCCTTCCTATTATATCTGTGTCCTTTCCTGCCTTAATCTTTGGGTCACATCCTATTTAACTATGAATGTGATCATGTTAACAATTTGAAAAAAAAAGTTTTTACAAACTCTATATATTAGTTTGAGTTGATCTCTTGCCTTTTGATATTAATATGTATTTCCCTTACCAAACTCTGACTTTTATCAGTGATTCATGTATATAAAGCCCTACCCAATTGTTGTGAGCCTCAGACCAACAATGGAGCCAGGACATTTGTGGTGTACAGAGTAACACAAAAGTACCTACAATGAGATGATGCCCTGGTGGCATGCAAACTTCAGTGACTGTGTGCTTATTCAGAAGAACAAGAAATACTTTTGGAAACAAAAATATTTATGGACATAGCCAAACCCCTGAAAATCAATAAAGGCTCATTGCTCCCTTTTTTGGAGGAATAGACTGATCACTTTGACTAATATGTTTCCAATCTACTCAAAATCTAAAGTCCCAGTAGAGAAGCTTTTCTTATCTTCCTTACAATATACCACACAGTCTGCTGCTGCTGTTTCTACAAGAGATGCTATTTCCATCAGCTATTTTTCCCCACTCTTTGGTAGAATCCCTTCTTGAGCACCACATTGCACAATGCACCCTTCCTACCCTAGGTTTGATCTAAGCTTAGCTATAAAATCTCCTGCATGGTCGGTCCACTGCATGCTGTTTGCATGAGACATGTTAACCCAAGTATACTGGTCTCACAAGACTATATTCCTAGCAAGCACTCACCAGCTGTAGATAAAGTCAGGATTTTTGCAGCATCCAAAAGAAGAACCTCAAGGAGAAATAAGCTCACTAGAATCCCAATCCGATGCTCAGCCATCTGTAAATCAAGTGGAGCACAGGCACAGGATGCACAGCTTGAGAACTGTGTGCCACTAAGGGACCCTGTGAGCCTCTGTCACAAAGCACTGGCTGTGGCCTTGAAATAAGGTAAAATCAGGAAATCTTATTCTGGTCTTCCAAATGTCCTCTTGCTCTTTGCCTTGTCTCTGCTGGTCTCTTTCCATTGGACATTCTGTTTCACCCTCCTTCACCAGAGTTGATAGAGGAACGGGTGCTGAGTTAATATTTACCTTGTCCTCTAGCCAAAATATCCTCTTTACTGCCCCTAAATAACTCTCTACTTTGTGAATGAAGGGACCCTGAGAAATCCTGTCAATGACAGCATCTTGAAGTGGCATGTACCATGAACATGTTACAGGCTAATTCCTTAACTTACAAGACTCTGCCTCCTCTGTCGTTTCTCTATTTGTATCCTATTGCCATGTCTGCAAGCCATTATGCCCAGTGCCAGTCTCAAAATCTCCAATAGTGTCAATGTAAGCTAGTGATTCGGGAAAACATCTAAGATTATTGCCCAAGGCCTCTCACTAGTCACAAATTCATGAAAATATGTTAGTGGCCTAAGTGCAGGACTTTATCCCCCAAAATAAAATATGTACCTTTCTTTACTTCTTACTTTGCGGCTTGCTGTGTAGCTGGGAGGATGGACCATGGAGTCCTCTACTCCTTCTCCTTTCACTTCCTGTTCATTCTTCCCAAATTTCTCCTTCTTTTTAATCTCCCTGCCTGCCAGTCCTGCCTATATTTTCTCTTGTTTGACTATTGGTCATTCAGCTCTTTATTGAACCAGTCAGGTGTTTTAGACAGGCACAGTAACACAGATTCACAGAGTTAAACAAATGAAACCTATCCTTGGTTCATTAAACAAGTATTCCACAGCATAAACAAATGTAGTACATTTTCAAATAGTATTCCATATCATTTCCCCCCCTTTGGCCTAAATAAAAATTAAAAGTTTTAACTTAACATAGTAAAATTTTATACAACAAAAACATTTATCAAGTAAGAATTTCTTTTACAATATTCAGTCCATTAGTATTTTGCAATTTAAAGAAAATATTCCATTATCTATCTTATCTTAGTGATTCTAAAGTTTTATACCTAGTTTACTTTTTAACCTAACTGAAGAAAAACTATAACTATTTAGTCTTTAACACCAAAGACTCCAGGATGAAGGATGACCTAACAGTAGAGACATCTGGCTTCCTAGACAGTCACCTAAAGTTCCTCTGTAACATTGGGGCATGCACTTTCAACCTATAGGCCTACAATATCTTGCAAACTTTTCAGTGAAGCAGGAAATTTGAAGGACTCTCCTGCCTTGTATTGGCGAAGTTCATCAGTCGCTTTCCTCTGAATCCTGCAGAATAGCTGACAGACTCCTCTGTGAAGTGACAATTTTGAAAGACTGTCCAGCCTTGTTTTGACAAAGTTCAGCAGTGACTTTCCTGTGAGTGTTACATGTGCAGTCTGCACAGCACACTGTCAACACTCAAGGCAAAAGCAGTTTCTTGCCCAAATGGCTAGCCTTGCCACATTGAAAATAAACTCCACCTGGAGTTTCTCTGATGCCTATCATCCCTTTATGAAGTAAATTAGTGCTTCCAGGATCAGATTATGTCTTATTGTCATGAAAATCTTAGGTCATTAAATTTCTTAAGTGCTATATCTGTAGAACTTTGAAGTATTTGAAAATCATTTATCTGTCTAAAATATACCTGTCTAATCATGAAAACATACCAGATGTGACTACAAGTTTAATTATTATAGACTAACTACTAAACTCATCTCTTAATTATATTTTGCATTTTTAAATGAGCTGCATAAGCACTATACCCTAAAACAAGAGTAGAAGCATATACACAGTATAACAAAAATAATTATAAATTTGTATTAATTTGTCAAAATCCATTCTAATGCATAATATATGAGATTGATAGTTGTTTTTTATCCTATATTTCTATATTCCTGTAAATGATAGAAAACAGACATAACTCACCAAATAACAAAAGACAACCCACCCCATCTTTTGGGAATGTTGGCATCATGTACTCCAGACTTCTTCCTGCTGTCTGTGTGTAAAGGCACCTTTAGGGGTCCCTGAGAAAATGTGAGCTAACAGCCAAGTCATGGGAAGATCAGCTATTACCTTTATTGATATATATCACCTTACAAGATTCAGGAGGCCTTCCCCAAATAATCATGATCCATATCAACCCAGAATGAATCTACAGACTCTCATTTCCTATGGAAACAAAAGCTAAACCTCTTCTCTAATGTAACATATTTTTTGACATTATTTTAAAGTTAAGATAGCTCTAAAGTATGTAGGTGGGCTCAATTTAGCAGTCCAGTTCTCAAGTTCATGTCTGCCAGCAGCTGTCATTTGCTCCTCAGCATTCAAAAAATTCAAAATCAAAACAATACTATACAGGATCCAGATTCCCTGTGTATTTTGCATCATTATGTGGCTTTTTCTTTTATATTACTTATACTCTCTCTTTAAACAGTTTATTTCTTTCTATGACTGTTAAAAGCCTTTTTCTTTTTCTGAAACCTTCACACATTGTAAAACACAGTGGAACCTATTTAGAGTTTTTTTTTTCCTCGCTTGAATCTGCTTTACTGCATATCTCTAGTTTTTTTTT